TCACGTAATACCCGCGCAGCTGGAATTCGTGGTGAACGATGCATCGTCACCATTGCTTTCGCGTTCAGCTGACGTTATCGGTGTTACGGATGGATCGCGCGCTCGCCGGTAGAGACAGAGGAACGGCATAAACGATCGGCCGGGCGGACGGCCGACCGGCCGGCTTTTCAGTGGCCTTGCAAACTGGTTCCCTGCAACCCGACTCGATTATGCTAATCGCACATGCGTGTTAGCATTCGACTGATCGGCTCGCATACCTACACATACAACGCACACACACACACATACACACACGGCGCGCGTGGCCCATGTGTTTATATCGTAGCACCGTCCTTACGTACACGATCACGGAAGCAAATGGACGCATATGCGTTGCACACGGTTAAGAATCCAGGATACCGATGTCGTCCGAGTATATATGTTCCTATATATGTGCGTGCTGGAATCCTTGATCGCAAACACCTTTTAATGCCACCTCGACCTCCCGCCAACCGGGCATCCTTTAATGCGCGTAACGGTATCTCTGAAGTGTTCCGCCGTGATCGCATTTCTTAATCTAGCGTGGTTGTTTCTTAGGATATTTCTTTCAGCCTTCACATACGTACTGTAATATATTTTTACAATATTACATTTAATTTTCATTTCGCAAGAGGGAATGTTATACTTATTATTTATTAGTTAGAAAAATACTACTAGATAATTTGTAAAATTCAGTTTTAACATTAGAGATTTGTATGGAAGATATCCGTGGATTCTTCATTTGTATTTAATGTAATTAATGGCACATTAATATTATTGCATTTTAGAACAATACGATACGAAACACTAACCGATCTAATTAAAGCGTTCTTTTATCATTGTTACACGCGTAATTCTCAGTGTTATTAAAAATTATGATATATGTATAATAACGCGTTAAAATGTAAATTCATTGTACAATGGTCGCTAGCCCAGACAGGTTTAATGTCCGAGAACTTCCCGTCGAAACGAATAAATCATACGACAGCAATATCGAATGCATATAATAAATTCGATTATGGTATAATATACAGTTAAAAAAATAATGTCATCCTGTTTCTGTAGGACGGATCATTTTATATAACAAAGCATCTCGAAATCGTGATATTTCATAAATCCCTATCAATTTTTACTTAATAATCTTACATGAATCGCCTTGCTTCTTTGCGAATTAGCTCGTCTTCTTCCCTTGTTCCAAATTATATGTTATATATAATGATAGCTATTACTGCGTTCGCTTCGCGCCCATTTTATATAATTGCTTGTAATGTGTGGGCTATATGAAAGTCGTCAATCACCGTATTAACATATTGCTCGTAGAATAAAAAATTGATACTAGCTAAAATATAAATTGACCTTAAGGATTTATAATACAGTGGCTATTGTTAATTATATATTACTAGTTTGTTGCCACATTTTACACCTCTAATTTTATATACTTTACTTATTAAATGTGCATCAATTTTTATTATTATCTTCTTGCGTCTTGAAATACCGTAGTATATGCCACTTAAATGTGAACACCTGAAGAGTGTGAGAAGAGCGTGAGAAGAGCTGCTATCTTATGTGCGCTAAGTGTTACATAGTACAAGGTCAGGAGCTCGTAACTTTTTAATATAACTCCGCTGGTGTACGTGGCATCAGAAATACATTTAGTTTACAACGCGTTTAGCTTACGACTATTTTACGAGGTGCGAACGACTGAGACGAGCTATGAGTTCCATAACTGTCAAATCCAAGTGCCATTTACGGCTCAATCTTTACGGCTGCTAACGACGTCGTTTATTTTATCCTGCCGTTTTATCTACATCAGCCGGTGATACATATACATAAAAACAGATCGCTCAACATTTTTTGCTGTCTTTCTTATACGGTCTTATAATGAAAACGATTATAAGTATTCAGATTTCATCATTTCTCAAATTCGATTATATTTATTATCTTTAGTTTAATATTATCTTTTCTATTTTTTTTTTTTAATCGAAACAGCAATGAATATAATAATGCAATTCGCTTCTTCTGGGATGAACTGGCTGACAATCGACACCTCGACCGTCTTCTTTTGATTACGTCGAGTAGTAGATAAGAGAATGCGGGACAAAGAAATTCCTATCCAGAGGCCATTTTGCTAACTAGAGGCCATCGTAGTTATATGACGTCACTTCCATATCCAACCATGGCGTCACATGACGCTCCACCCTGTTTTCAATCACCTTGGCCCCGAACCCACCCAGCTGTCAGACATGCTCCACCCCGTTTTTTCCTCTTCTTCCGTGCTATCACTATCGCCATCTGCCGACAATATTATGTACTTCTTAGACCCTTAAATAATCAGTTGGTTTATGATCTTTCCGGTCGATGTCACTACTAAATGAGGCCTAAAATACTTATCTGATATATGCATCTTGAATTGGACATAATTAACATGTTACACCTTATTAGATAAAAGAAGAGACTGTTCTACAAATAACATTGTTTTTGTTATACAGATGTATTGTTTAATTTTCTTAATTATTTTAATTTTAAAGGAATTTCTCTAAATTTTGAGATTCATAAAAGTTTGAAAGATCAGGTGTAACGCGTACGATAACTGATTGTGCACACTTCGCTACTATTAAATTAAAGAGATGCAAGGAGAAAGAGGACGAGAAGCTGCGAAAAATACTCCATCCACGTCAATAGGATTCAGATACTTGCACTTCAGAGGAGGATACATAAAGGGGAATTTACGGGGCGGGAATTGAGTTCAAATCCTGCGAGAGGTTGAATTTATACGCGAGAGACGAGGAAGGAGAGGTGCTGGGGAAGGGGGTGGCGAACGCGTGGAATCGCTATCGGCGGCCATTCATCAATCCGTGGAATCAATACGCTGGAATTAATGAAAGCGCCGCGCGAACAGCAAGCTAGCGGCCGGAATGTTAATCGCGATCGTCCGCGTCCGACCCGTTCTCATGTACAGCAAACTCCCAAGGGCCGCACCTCTCACCCTCTCTCACACTCACACCCTTTACCCTGCTATGCTGCCCGTTGCACATCCGAACCCGTTCCTAACTCCGTGTTTAGCACCACCCACACTGTCATGCCACCCGCAACAATGCCATATGTACATTCACATGTATATTTTCATTTATTCCTTTGCGACGAGATAAATTTTTTGCAATGTAAAAGCTAAATGTATTATTGGGTTTTAAAGGACCACGTTTTTTTATTAACTATTTTTAACAATATATTAAATTTTATCTTGTTGTATATTTAAAGAATTAACAAAGTTTCTGCTTCAAGAGAATGTGATTTGCAATGTTTTATAAAAACTTTTTAACTAGAAATCAATCGTTAACCAATTCTTTGTATTTTTATTTAGCCAACATTGAAATTGAAAAAAATTTTAAGAAACTGTAGAATTTGAAAATTGCGAAAATTACGTGATTTGTATTTGAATAAGTTTGTACAACTTTGAAACATCAGATATGGTCGGTATAGAAGGTTTTCATCTTGAATCGGCAGATCAACATAGTCTCATGCCTCTAAAAGGCAAAAACCTTTCATATTTCAGTCGATAAGAAAGCCATGTCTTACTATTTTGTTAACTATGATGATATCCCGGCCATATGCAAATAATATCTTTTAGAAATTAAAATAAGGAAAAATATTATATTCATATAATTGTTAAGAGTAGATATTAATTTTATTTTTATTTTTGCAAAGCGTAAAAATTGTTGTGGGTCAAAATTTGCTTTACGTTATACATACATAGAAAAAAGAATTAGTTACATTATTTATCGTTATATTTATTGATCTTTAATATTATATTTTTAATATTATTAATATTATTCGATTTTAATAGTTTTTCTTATAACATTTACATTCTTGCGAAATGTGTTTAATCGAATGCCATGTATTTATTTTTTATTATTCTCTTTAGTGTTTTATTATTAAATAGGATTTAATAATAAAACATGAATAATATATCTTATGTAATTTTTAAATACAGATTAATTTAAATGTATTTTTTTTTATAGTAAGATAACGATGTGTGGTATTTTAATAGTAAGATAATGTGTATAATGAAAGCAATAATGTTTGTAGAACGTTTGAACTAGTAACTAAGTTATTTGTTTATAAACATAAAATCATATGAAGCTAAAAAAAAATAATTTTTTTAGTTCAGTTATGTAATGGCTTGGTTGAAATATGAATATATATTTACTTTGAAAGATTAATTAGGTAAATTAAAACTTCTATATTTTCGCTTATTTTTTATATATGTATAATATCTCTTTTATATTTAGTTGTTTTATTCTAACCTGATATATTGAGTTAGAATGGTGAGTATGAATGGTGTCGATACATCCTATTATACTAATTTCATGCAACATACACATCGGAACCTTTACAAAATTTCCGAAAAAGAGATTGATGCGAAGGGGAAAGGTTTTTGTGGGAAGTGGCTATGCTACCTAATGAATGGAAATTTTTCCAAATTTAACGATCGCTTAGCCCGCCCACACAGAACGCTGTAATAAGTTTGGCGTCTGTGCGATGGCCGTCACCGTGACGAGCACATGTGTAACTTGCCTTCTGTCATTCACGCGCTAAACTCTGTTCAGTATATTCAGTTCGCTTGACAAGGATCATGCAAAGTTTCAGTTCATGTCTGCGATATTATATATTTATATATCATAAAATCTTTGCAAAAATTATGGTATTTATTAGAAACATTTTTTGCTGATTGTGAAATTCATGACAGTTGCCAATTATCACTAATACACATTTTTATCATTTAATAATTTTATTATTTAATAATTTATCAGTATTTTTAATGATATCGTAAATTTAATATAATTGTTATTTACACTGAAGTTTATGTGGTGCCTGTTACATATGAATCAGACGTAATTAATGTAATTCTTAATATTGTAGTATTGTAATGTTGTACAAATAACGTAATGTATATAATACGTAAATTTTTTTTTCTGTTACAGGTGCGGCTTAATTTCGATTATAGGGTGGACAGAGGAACGAAACGGGTCTGGAGTGGCTTGGCATTTTGAACGAAGGTGTCATACCGGGGAAGACGAAGGACTTTGATTATTATCTTCCGCTACCACTTTGTGTATACGTGGTATACTCTCCTCTTTCTCCACTTGCTAATTAAAAAGGTTCTGTAGTGCTCCAGTTAATAATTTTATTCTCTTTTGGTAGTGAGCTCAGTGTGATACAAAGTCAAATGATGTACATGTGATCCAAAATGATGGTAATTTGATACATATATACATATATATATATATATATGTGTGCGTGTGTGCTGTGCTGCTCAAGAATGCGTGAGATGACAAGGGTCAAGTGAAAAAAAAAAATAAAAAAAAGATTCGTAAAGAAATGCAATTCCGAAGTGATAAATCTGTATCTATGTAAAGACGTGTGCTAGTGTGTCCGCACAGGAAGAGTACAAAACAAAATAAATTTACGAAGATAAAGGGATAGAGAGAAGAGTAGTAGATCAATTGAAGATAACCAAAGGAAAGTCAGTCAGCAACGTAGAGAAGTGACATAAGCAGGTAGGACAGGTGGGACAGTAGCATGAGTTCGTACTTTGCGAATTCGTATATCCCGGACCTGCGAAATGGCGGGGTGGAACACCCGCATCAGCATCAGCAGCACTATGGTGCGGCCGTACAGGTACCTCAGCAAACAACACAATCGGTCCAGCAACAGTCTCAGCAAGCCGGTGATCCCTGCGATCCGAGTTTGTTACGTACTCAAGGAGTATCCGCCCATCATTACGGAACCACGGGAGGTCAGCAAGATATGCCTTATCCGAGGTTTCCCCCGTACAACCGGATTGACATGCGGAACGCGGCCTACTATCAACATCAACAGGAACACGGAAGTATGGACGGCATGGCCGGTTATAGGTCGACGTCTCCGAACACCAGTATGGGTCACATGGGACACTCATCAACCCCTAACGGACATCCGTCCACTCCCATCGTCTATGCCAGTTGCAAACTTCAGGCGGCTGCTGTCGATCATCAAGGCAGCGTTCTCGACGGACCGGATAGCCCGCCTCTCGTCGAATCGCAGATGCACCACCAAATGCACAGCCAACACCCTCATATGCAGACGCAGCAATCGCAGCATCCACAGCAGCAATCGCAGCATCAGCATCTGCAGGCACAGCAACAGCATATGATGTACCAGCAACAACAATCTCAATCTTCATCGCAACAGGGACAAAGTGGAATGCACCCGCAACAGCAACAGCAAGCTCAGCAGCATCAAAGCGTTGTTGCATCGTCGCTCAGTCAACAACAGCAAGGCGCGCCTCAAAGTGCGTCGAGTGCGAACTTACCAAGTCCGTTGTATCCTTGGATGAGGAGTCAGTTTGGTAAGTGTTTACATTTTACATTTTTATAAAATTTATATAATTACGCGATACATCTTCTTTTCTCAGGCTTCAAATCGTTATCATACCTGATGTTTATGAACGAAAAAGATAAAACATTTTATAGATTTTATAAATTAAATGCATAAAACTTATAATTTATTATAACCTTAACCTTTTGAGAATTGCAATATATATAGATTTAGTAATATATCACATTAAAATTTATTATTATTGCTAAAAGGGCTTTTACACTCCTTACACTTATCTTATTGTTAAAAGTTCTTTTACACTCTTTCTTGTATATTATTGAATAGAAGTATAATAGAAAAGACCGCTTTTAAGAATAAAATCACCGTTTTCTTTTATGCGTGACCAAAAGTCTACTAGAAAGCTAAGTTTCTAGTAAAGTAGTTTCTCAGGTAGCAGGTATAATAGCTTTTGTATTTATGCAACGGAGTACAAAACTAAACCAAATCCGTACGGTAGCTGACTCAGGATTGGCACAATGTCTCTAGATACGTCGCGACCGGAGTTATTTATTGCGTTGACCTGTTAGCCTGTCTGTTAGTTTACCGCTCGTTCATCAGGTCACAATAAGCGTTATCTCTTGTTCTTTTTTCATATGACTACCGCTTGAAGTCTCAACGATATATTCGTTTTTATTAACATAATTTGCAATATTGCAATTTGTCTTTTTTCATTCTATTATATGCGATACATTTTGGGTAACGAGCGAAGTATCCAATATCTTTCTGAATATAGAATTGATTCAAAAAGCACTTATTACAATATATCTATATTTTAATGTCTGTGCAATTAAATAATGCTCCTCAATAAGATCGAAATTATTTTGACAAATCTTCTCGTATTTTTCATGGTATTCAACACTTTTCGAATCATATATCATATGTCTACTTATGACTTTGTATGGCATAGCTATAAAGGAGTAACAATAAGGTTGGACCGTCATTAAATAGAAAAAAAATCTTGGCACGGAATCGAATAAGTTATGGAATCCTGAAGCGCACCATTCCATCATTCACTTCTTCGTTTCTATATTGACTCGTAGTTCGACTCATCTTCGATGAAAGAACGATATGTCTGTATTACCTAATTCTGCAAGGTAGCATCTGTCCGAAACAAAAAAACTTTAGCGACCCACTCTTATCTTTCCACCTATTTCTATTCTTCATTCATTTGTCGCTTCTTCTAGAAACAGCTTCTCTTCATATCTTCTTCAACTACAAATTGATCAGTGAATAAGTGACACAATTTATTTTTTCGTGAAACATTATTTATAAAGTTACATTTTAAAAATAATAGAAAATAATTAAAGGCCAATATTTAAATAAATTTAATGTTCATTATATTTTTATCTTTAGCATTAAAATATTTAAAATGTCTTATATTTTTTTCATAAATTATGACTTTTTTGTTGTATACATATTCTTGTTTATACATATTGTTGACAAAACCTCTTTAATTTAAAGTATTGGTTGGAAATATATTAAATGTGAATTATTGATATCACATTTTGAAGTGTTTTTACTATTGTGATTATTTTTATTTATTTCTAGACGTTCTGAGATATATAATTACAATTTTTAATATACTTCTGTCTAAAATATGTCATAGTAGAATTATGAATAAAAAATTGCAATACTTTTTAATAAGCTTTTTCGAAATGTATAAATATCTAAAATTATTATTTTAACTTTGGTACTTAATCATAAAAAGAAGAAATGTTGAGTCATTTTAGCAATGATTATACATATTTTTTTCTGTTAATGATTACTTGTACCATCTTTCGGTTAAATTCAGAAGCAGATCCCGAGTCTGCTCCGGGATTGGCCGATAAACACTACGCTTATGACGACGCCAGGGCTTGTAGTTTACTGCCTGTTAAACGAAGAAAATGGCTTAAGTCCCTGAATGTGCTCACAGATGTCGGCACGTTTAAGAATGTTTCGTCTTATTCTCGAATCTCATTGCTTTTAAAAAAATTAATTTTGCTTATTTTGTTTAAAAATTACATAACATTTTTTGTATAAAAATACATAGCAGTTTACTTAGATCGCATTTTGATAAGAAGGTAAATGATTTTTAAGAGAGAAATGAATGTTATTTTAAAAAGATTAAAAAGAAAAAGCATGGAATGCATTTTACCTTATTAAAATTTATTCATTTAACTGAACTGTTTTATTCTTTTAATCTTTTTTGTATCCCATATTTCACATTGCGATAATTTATTTGAAGCATATACATATATTCTGAACGTCTCAGAATACATTACATGAGGAATGTAATATACGAGCATGTATGCAATAAATTAATTAATTTTGGGTAATTTTTGTTTTTATTTCTATTTGAAATGTATTATTGCTACGCTTTTAAAATTCATTTGCTTTGTATTTATCTATCTGTATTCATATATCTTGTTAAAATCTCTTTAAAATTCATATAAGTTTGATATAGTTTCTTAATTATAACTATAATTTTATCACACTACACGTATTCTGCTTCAGTTGCTGTATAATTTGAATGAAATATACTAACCAGATTTTTGTGAATTATGTACCGTTCTATTTCACGGACTGATTACCGTTAAAGAGCATTTGTTTAGTGAAATTGCTGAGATTTCGTAGTATTTTTTGTAGGACACATTACACGTGAGCCGAGAAATTCCGGCATAGTTAGTTGCATTACGAAGTAAAGACGTGCAAACATGCATACATTCCTTGATTAATGCCAAAGATTTAAAGAGACACAGTTATAAATATACATGATGCAATAAGAATTCTCCAATTTTTTTTCTATTAATATATGTTTGTATCAGAATTTTGTCACGGAAACGTTGTACAAAGAAAATTTTATTATTATAATGCGGTTTAAAAAAGTTTTAAATAATTTTTATATAGAAAAACAACAAAAGTATTGCTATACGTTAATTTGAAAATCTCGACATAATCTTTTTTATATTGGATAATACAATGTGCTTGCCGTATTACAACACTGTTCAACATTTGGCATTCCGATCCCAAGTGTTGATCCGAGAAAAGAAGACCGACAGTCATACTTTTAATGCATGAGATAATTGCGACCCTCTGTGTGAAAAGATTTATGACATCTCGACTCCTTCTCCCCTCATATATTCTCAATCGGCAAATAAGCATGGCGTGATACAGTTACAAAGCTTCCGTTATTGCATACGTGCGTGCACGCTCGTATATTACATTCCTTAATGTAATGTGTATTCTGAGACGTTCAGAATATATGTATACGCTTCGAATAAATTGTCGCGATATGAAACATAGGATACAAAAAAGATTAAAAAAATAAAACAGTTTAGTTAAATGAATAAATTGTAATATTGTAAAACGCACTCCATGCTTTTTCTTTTTATATATATTTCTTTATTTTTTCGCAATAAAAGCATTGTGAACGTGTTAATATCAAATGAGATATATATATGTATATATATATATATATATATTACATATAATATGCTAGCATATTTTATGTACTTACTTAATGTTATATTACAAGGTCGAAGTCATGTACAATAATAAAATTTTATAAAATGTTTAAAGCTAAAATGATATTCGACGCGTCAGATACGTGTAAAATTTTTAGTCGTTATTCGAGGAATGAATCAGCAGATAGAACAAGAAGAACCAGCATTCCAAATCCGATATGCATTTTATTATAATTCAACTAGCCGCTCAACAGATTGGTGGCCATTACGATGGCGGCTTCGTGAGATATTCAAAAAGCGATGGAGTTCAAAAGGGGCAGGAAAGGAGGAGCTAAAAAAGGCTAAAGGAGAGAGGACATGTGCGTGTATATGTACTCACTCATATGTGTACATATGTACATATTAGAAATAGAGAGAGAGAGAGAGAGAGAGAGAGAGAGAGAGAGAGAGAGAGAGAAATTGAGGTGGTAGAAAGAGGTAGAAGGGATGGATGATGATGATGAATGAATCCACAGAAATCCTGGGACCGTTTTCTTTTGGAGCTCCGCCATGGAGGCAATTGTGAACGATATGGAGGTCGTGATTTGATTTCCGATATTTGGCTAGAATTCAACATTTGAAAGACAAAATTGTCTCTATTTTGTTGTGATTTGATTTACTCATTACGTAATGCTTAACAATCAATTTGAGTTTCTTGCATAAAATAAAAATTTCTATTTGTTACGATTCAATCTTAAGTTCTATGAGGTAGTTATATTGTTCGTATCTAGAGTAGCAGGTGCAAGAGAAAAAGTAAATTTTAATGCTCCGAGTGATACCCGTAAAGATGCATATGTCGCGGCAAGCCGTTCTCGCTGCTCATTATCTCAACCTTCTACCTCGGGGCTCTTTCAGACTCCATCTTCTTGTCCGCCTGTCTGCTCGTCTGCCCGGAAGATCAAAAAAAAGAAAGAAAAGCGAAAACAAGGAGGAAAAACTACCTATAGAATACTCTAGTCTCCTTGGGAGTTTCTAAATTTCCTCTATAAATGTTAGCGGACTTGGTGCTTTTCTTTTTCGCTAAAAACTTTCTGTGAAATTCAGTCTTAGTTAGTTCTAAAACATTAAAAGTAAAACATACGTTGAAATTATAGTTTTACTAAAAGAAACAAAATAAAGCATTTAGGATTTAATCCATCTTATGAGGACCGTTTGCAAATTTGTAAGAATTGCTAATAAAATTGAAAATAAATTGTCTGATCTAAAATATGAAATTAGAACGTCATAATTTTTTATCATTATTAATTATATTTTTGCACTATTTATTTATACAAATTGTTTCAAAGAATACTTTTCGAGGAATATATATTTAAATCTTCAGCATTTGGGAATAAAATTTTTAGTTTGTCATTAAAAGTTATGTACAACAAACTGGATGTTAAATTTCGACTTTGTTGCATCTGGGCGTTTATTTAAGAAAATTTTAGAAGCTATCCATACAATTTTGTGCAATTAACATTAATGTTCGTCAACGGTATAGATACAAGCCAAAGTTGATACCGTGAGCAAATGATAAAATTAATGATACATCTAGGATATCTAATCGAAGCGCGTTTCAAGGCCTGGCCTTATAGTGCCCACGTAAAGCTTAGCTTAATTGGGCACCGAGTGGTGGCCGCACCTTATTAGCGGGTTACAACATCCGGCTAGCTGTTAATCTGAAAAGTCCTGCGTGTATCCTGCGGCGGGCCTGAAAGACTAGTCAGGCAGGAGGGGAAGCGGAGATACGGAGCAACTAGCCTATAATAAGCCGCACGGTTGTGTACGTTCTGTTCTGTTTCGTTCCTTCATGCTGCGCCAGTGAAGGCAGACCCATAAATCTCCCGGGCATACTCCAGGGGACATTTGATCCTTGCGTAACCCAACGCCGTTAATTTATTGCTCCGCGTTTAAAGTCACCTCCGTCCGCGAAAGCCGTGGCAGCGCTGGTACGCCGATCCGGCGCAAACTTAAGCCATCGGTATGACTTTCTTATTACAGGACTTCTTTCCATACGCGCGTATGCACGCTTGCGTGTATCACGTATCTTAAAAATATCAATGGAACCACAGTAACATTATGTATATGATAAATTAAATGTGAAAAATATGATAATAACGTTATTCCCACAGAAATAAAAATTAATTTTCAACATTTAAATTACAAAAAACTGGATTTTAACATTTAGAATTTAGCCACATATCATTATCATTTTATCATTTTTTTAGTATGTATTTTTATTATAATCTGTTAGGAATAATTTTTTCGATTTTAAAATATGTAATATCAGTTCGCAACTTTTTCTATAGTTACATCTTATAAAGGCATGCAACCATGTTGGTAAATAACGTCTGAGAACATAAAGTACTGCTGTCTCTTTAATTAACCCCACTCAACTCACGTTATTATTGTCCGCTGTCTAATTCTCATATCCGGATACATCTAATCGAGATTTTAGTCTTCAATAATCAAATCGATTGGCTCGAAAATTTTATAGGTTTTAGCTCATAAATAATACAGACTCGTCTCGATGCAGCGTTTAATAATTCATTTCTTTGCTCTGCAACATCTAGTGGCATGAAAGGATTTATGGGCGAAGTGACCTTTTGAAACAAACCTGATTATTACGCCGCTTCGACTCAGAATTATCTTTATTTAAAGTGATCGTATAAACGTATTTCAGATGAATATATGAGTTTCGAATAAAAATATATACATGTGTGTCTAGAATTTTTTTAGCGTTTTAAAAATAATGTGCGGTTGCTATGTTGGAAATTTTGATGTTACTAATCAGTTAAAATTTTAGTCACATATAAAGTTTGATTTCGAACACAATCTATTTATGGAATAAAATACTATAAATAAAATTACTTAAATAAATTGACATTTTCTGAAGTGTCAGTGCAATTGAACGTGTTTCATGTGTTTCACTGACGCGCGACGCTTTGATGATCTAGCCTTAGATCTAGAACGTGATCTTCATTAACGCGGTGTGACAAATGAATATTAATAGGATGCAGCTTTCGTAGAACAGTCGACGGTACACTTGATAGTCAATTATGATAATATTTTTTTTATATAATACGCACACGATTTCATAAGCATATATCTATTTATGCGATGACCGATATAATTACTTTTTTAATAATATTTATTATAATTTTGGCAGAATAGTAAATGGCTATTTTCTTAAAATAACGGAAGGAAAGAGAGCCAAGGAAGTTGCCTAAATCGTTAAAGCTTATAAGAGAGCGCTAGAGATTGGTATGTTGTTAATTTGAGAGCGTAGCCCAAGGGAAGGAATAAGAGGGCATGTTCCCAACTTTCTCTATCCTCTCCTCTCAGCCCCTCTCTTTCTCTAACGCGCGTTTTTTCTCTTCCTCCGTATATCGTCCTCTTCGTCTAGTCGAAGGTTCAGGAACCTACGCGATCTCTCCATCTCTCTCCGGAGCAGAACCGCCATCCATCTTCATCGGCCGACAGCGCGACGGGCGGCGTTTGCCTCGAATGCTCGCCAAGGAGTTTTCTTCTTCTTCTTCTTCTTCTCCTTCTTCACCTCTCCCCTCCTTACTTTCCAGTTCTCATCCCTACGCCTCTTCTTCCTTCTTCCCTCCCTCACCTCATACCATTCTGAAGCATTCTCATTTTGCTCTCTCACTCGTACGGCGGGTTAACCGAACCAAACCCTTTGAGGTTTATACCTTGTAAAGTTGCGAGACTTCTCACACAGAGTCAACTCGCTCTGTCTCCTTAGTATCTTCCTCCGTCTTTTCTGCCTCTCTCGCTCTCTCGGCAACCATAATTAATATTCTTGTTCGGAATTCGTGTACCGCGCACTGACCGCAGATCATATCGCGGATATCGCTAAGGTATCTATCATATACGGAACTGCATTTACGATCCTGAGTCTTTTTTTATTCGCAGCGGTATTTTATTTATTTCATTAAAATTTACAGAAACTTTGTTGAAGTTTACAGAAACTATCCAGCCAGTCAAGTCGATCATAGGCTGTAGTATTTATGAAATATATTATAGTTAACTGGTCGTTTGTAGCTTAAAGATAGCGAGATATCTACGTGTTTTGTCCACTACAGCTGTAGGTACTTCTATGCCAGCGCAGCTGCTATATTCGTCAAAAGATTTTTACATTTATATTTATAATATATTATTCCTTAATATATATTTGTGACGCATATCTTGTAGAATATAGTTATTTTTCTCTTATATTAGGTTAAGTAAAAAGTCATCGCGTATTTTTTAGCTCAAAGTTGTATATACAATATCTTCGTCAATAATGAATGAAATTCAAATTTAAAAAAAGGGTTTTAAAGCTTGAAACTCTACTTTTAAAAGCTTATCACATTTTTTAAGTTTATATGAGTTTGATAATTTTTACATACCAAAAACTACGAGCTGAAAAAGACGAAAAATTTTCTTCTCACTTTGTGGATTTGTAACGTGTCCAAAACGAATTTGAGAAAATTTTCGATTACCTATCGTGAAAGCTTGATACTTTCCCTACAAAATCGTTTTTTTTTAAATATTCCTACGACTTTTGATTACTGAGTTATCGCGGATTAAATAAAAGAATTATTTTGACTTTAATTGCTCATAACTCCATTAAAAATTGTCGTATCGTATAATTTAAAAAAGAGATTTTTAAAGCTGAAACTTTACTCTATCAAGATATATTTATATTGTTGGTAAGAAAGTAATTGCGGTTTTTACTGATAGATGTCTTTTAAAAAAACGCGATGACTTTTTACTTGACCTAATACTTATGTATTCATGTAATATAATAATTTGCGAATAGATAACAATTTATATTAATTTGAAATTTTAATATCTTTTTTTTTTGTTTCAGAAAGGAAACGGGGTCGGCAGACCTATACACGATACCAAACGTTAGAACTGGAAAAAGAGTTTCACTTCAATCGATATCTTACTAGGCGGCGACGCATCGAGATCGCACACGCGCTATGTCTGACAGAACGGCAGATAAAGATCTGGTTTCAAAACAGACGGATGAAGTGGAAGAAGGAGAATAAGACGAAAGGCGAGCCGGGCTCAGGCGATGGCGACACTGAAATCTCGCCGCAGACGTCGCCGCAGGGTTAAAAGAGCTCCGAGGGGAGTGGAACTTCTTTTCCACCTCTCTCAGAGTCGTTAATACCTTGTTTCCAGCACTACCTCCTCCCTACCCGAACTCCAATCCCCATCGATGACCTCCAAATGATCCCTCTAAGCAATGACGCTTATTTTGTCGTGTTAATCATGTTGCTTGTACCAAAAACGAAGCAGATAATGATGAAGACGAGGAAGTTGTAGAAGGAGCGCTTGAAGACGATAAGAAGGGAACTTACGATAAACCCAGAGACGTAAAGTTACGAGAATGCAAAAAGAAGAGAATAAAAGTAAAGACGCACAAACGAGTCAGCAGAGGATTTGCGTGAATGCGCGAATGAAAAAGGTGGATCAAGATTATTGATCGAGAAGAGTAAATAAAACTGGATCACATGCTAATCAGAACCGCGTTAACCTCTATTACGTTTAATTAACGATTATTGTACACTAAAGTCCATATATATGTATATTATACATATATATGTATACATACATGTATACATATATATACATAAATATATACATATGGATAGAGATATATGTAGTTTAATGTGGGAGCGAGTGACCGATGATCGATTGGCACTAACGCACGTAGAAGACATGGTTCCGAATGATATAGTATTAAGAGTTAAATCTACTGAAGAAAGAATGATTGCGCGAATCTGATTGCGAGGTATGATAGAAAAAAAAGATCGTGTTAAAATCTTAGGAGAGCATTTTATTATTTATTCTCTTACATCGTAAAGTAGAGTTGTAGGACGATTAATAGAATAGCCGTACGAAAATGTCCATCGCGTCTGTATTTAGCGATAGGTAAGCGGTTTAGTGTCCTTAGAGGATTGTTTAGATAGATTTTTTTTTTCCTTTAATACCGCCGAGCGGTGGCTCTAACGAGGATATTTATGATTCGTGCCAAGTGTGATCTTTGAGAATGTGTTTTGATAAAATTCGAAGGAGGATTCGAGTAACAGCGGGATACAGCAAGTGGACACAAAGAGCAGTGCAAAAGCGGAAGAGAAATATCGCGAAGTTTACGTCTTATTCTGAGAATAGTGATACAAGTGTGTGCAAAACTAATTCCATGGAAGATCAGTGAATTTTGATGTATAAATAGAAAGGTCACGGCGTTGTTTTTGGATTTTGTATGCGGAAAAAGCGACCATGAATGGGACAGACTAGTGCTGATTGATAAAGTGAATATGAGAAAAAAAAAACAGCGCCCTTCGGCGGAGCAGAGTCAAATGGACTTGGCATTTCTTCATCAGCGTCATCGCAAGGTTAGTCTTATAAAGATTGCTAATGATCGCAATTATCGGTTACGTTACTTTGTTTCTCGTTAAATCATCGTGCATTTGATAAGAACAGTAAGCTTTGAACTTCAACGAAATAAGCTTATATTTTTGTGTAATTAATAATGCATAAAAATGTAGTTTATCCGTTTAATAACCGATAGTTGGAAAAATTTGTTCCTATCACGCATATTGCTCAAAAAATAACGAGTATATAATGTATATAAGCAGTTCTTTCCTAGTTAAAAAGCGTGTCTGTGCTTGGAAAAGAATGTTGAAATTAATTAAAATTTTTTACATTATTTTCGATAATTTAGAAATGTATTTTATATTATTATTTATTATTTGGATCAAAAAACTGTTTTAGTTTGTACTTGAAATAGTTGAAATAATTTCAGAAAACAACTGTTTGATATTAAGATATCTGATAATATCTAATAATATTTGATATTATAAATAAATAATGTGTATATAGCGTGATGTCTTTTACAATGTCGGACACGTAATGTGATCTCGAATAAATTATTTCCTTTAGAATTTTTTTAAAAGAGTAAATGCAATAGTTATATTCGTAATAGCGTTGCAATTCTTCTTTTTTTCTGTAAATATTAAGAGAAGATAACTCAAGGAACGAAAGTTTATTTGCATTAGTAGCTATCGAAAATTTGCTCTTGCTCCGCGCGACATGACGCCAAGTTACCAAGTGTTATAATACATAGCGTATTTTCGGAATAGGATGCTTTCGGCATGAAACCGCTTGGCACCTTAATAGTGACTTAGAGCTAACTTGACCAAAAGAAATTGTTTTATTATGTATATACGGTAATTTAATTGCATTATCATTCCAAATAAATATATTGTTTGTTTGATCTTTTTAATATATAGTATGAAAATTATTCAAATCATGTTTATTTAACTGAGTGATTGTGCTTCTTTTGTGAATTATTTTCTATTATTATTTATATGAGAATTTTATATAATATTTTTATTTAGTTTTTACATAAAAAAAAAACACTTTCTATATATGATAAATGTGTGATCAACAAGAATCCAATTTGTTACATTTATATTGAAACAAGCGTGTTAAGTGTGGCAAGCGGTATCAGGGCACTCGTCAACTCGATCGTCTGATCTGGTTCGATGAATTGATTCGATTATGCCGTATCGGGAGATCCAGGAAAGCCCGGCCACGTTGTAGCCAGGCGAGCCCATATATTCCGCCGCGGTGAATTCTTGTGCTGTGTTGTAAACTTAGATTCGACATAATTATTTAGTGTATATCTTGTATACACCATAATTAATGATATACGTAATAAACGATATTAATAACCGCGTGGCTAATTTATGAACAGCGGTCAAAAATGCCTATAGAGGTGGTTAATTTCTAACTCACTGCAGAATTCGGCTCCTTACCATCTCTTTACGAAAAATGGGAGAAAGAGGCGATAAGAGTGGCATAAAACGTGTAATCGATATACGTAACGTATGGTCCAGCTTGCGCTCGTACATCGACCGAGCCATGTGTGACCAGCCTTTCCTTCTCGAGAAATTTATTTATATAAAACTCTTTGTCCTTGAGGAGCAACGAACTGTGTGAAAATCCACGGCGATTGCTCGCTATTTTGAAACATCCGTAATCTAGCCAATCATAGTCTCCATCTCTTACATTTTTTTGTTCCATTATTCGATTTTATGTAATTTGGATATATAGAAGTTATTATCTTTGAGACATTTTTGTATTGTAATTGTATCAAGGTTTACGTTTTTTGGCCTCTGAAGTACAACAATTCTACAATTGTATTATTGATGAATGATTTATGTAGACGTACGACATACAACTTTGCACGATATCACGTGGATTTTTGGATAACATATTTTATTGCGAGCAAATTGCACGTCGTTCTAACTGTATTCATCAAATAACAATATTTTAATGATATAGTAGATGATGCTACATACAAGGCTCCTTATTATTTTTGATTAAAACAAAATTTTTTATCCTTTGACCATGATATCGATTGTTATAATACTGTGACCAAAAGAAAATTTCATGTATCCAATTTCTAGAGATCGCGATCTAATAATTTTCTTTTTAAATTGCTAAAGAGGGAATGATAATAAATCTAAACTTTAAGATGAGATTTTTATGATTTGCTATGTACATTACTTTAATATTTGTCAAAATTGTATATATGCATTAAAAGTTTAAATTCGATATATCAGCACCGATCTATCAAATCGAAGATTACTTGCAAACATCTAATTCGATTGTAATATGTACAAAAGTTGAATAGTGCAATAAAATATGTTTAAATAAAAAATGCGTTTAAACGAAAGATATGATGGACTTCGGTGCTGTAAAAGTAAAATTGTGGTGAGCGATCGCCGTGAATACGTACGCAATTAAAGAAAAATGAACTTTTGTATCTATTGGATAGCGAACCTATTACTTATAGATTAAAAAATATATACATATATTATATATAACGCGAGAAGGGAAATTCATAGTATTAACTGGGAGGAATAAAAATGCAAAATATATATTTTATCTTTACTCGTATATATGCGCATTAAATTACAAGATATACGTAAATTAAACCAAGTACCGTGAGTGTATGCAAAAGTAGAACGTAAAACTGAACGTAAAATGCAACAGTGTGTACGTACGAAGTATGTCACTAAGATAGTCCGTATTCGGTAAGAGTAACATCTAAAATCTAATTCGTAAAAATAAAGAAATAACGTTAAGTAAACGGGTATGTGTCAGTCGCAGTAAGCGGAGGTGGCGGTCGTAAATTTTTAATTGGATTTTCGTCTAAATAAAAAACGATATATTCGCCATTAAGTGTACACCACGGGAGAAGCGCGCAATGAAAATTTTATTTATTATTGTCCACAATACGCCAGAGAGCGGCGACACTTGCAAAAAAATGTACATAAGTCCGATCTTTCTAACTAGGCTATCTGCAAAAAAACGCTACCAGATAAGTAGAACAAAGAAAAACAAAGAAATATAAGAAGTAACGCTTGTCAATGAACGAGTAACTTTCAGACCGTAATATTGTTTAGTCCGGTAATATTTATTGATACATGTTATATATATCGCAAAGTGGATCTTTCTGTTTGTTTAATTGATTATACAATAAATATTTTTTATAATGTACTAGATAAAGTTGTAGGTATTTGTATGTACCATTATTCTACTTCCTTGAGTATCTCTACGAAATGACGTGGATTGGTAGAGATTACGAAATCCTTATGCTGATGTTGTATTCTCGCATATCCAATCATTTTTATCGAATTATACGTGTAGATATATATAAAACAACGTTTAGAAAAAGAAATTTCATTAAAACATTTTTCCGTATATTCATATTTTTGCTGCTTCATCCTTTCGCAATTTCGATTCTTTAATCTGATCCATTTTTGATTAGGCAAATTGAATAAGCAAATTACAAAACGTCTCATACGTGTATGCGCCGAAGAGTTCCTGACTTTCTGTCGCAGGAAAGTGTCATTAATTGCATATACCTTTTAGGTATCGTATTTCTATTCAAATACGTAAAAATGTATAAATAAGCAAGTCCCTCGCTTCATCATCATCCATCGAACTAAAACTCACTGATATGATTATGAAATATTTAGTTAATATCATTTCTATAACATGTGACAAAACAACAAAAGTACAGATAAAATCTCAGTACCATTTAAAAGATATTAGTACACCATTAGAATACATTTCACTGGTTTTATCTTTTTCATAAATTTTGTAATGCAAATTGATTAATATATTTACCGTACTTGCTCCATTAAATCCCTGAATCATATTTCAATGTATTTGTAAATGTAAAAAAAGATCAAATCATCATAAATATATTGCTTATGTAATGCAACTAGAGGAGATTGCCAATTATATACAAGAAATTTTCGATTTTTTGCTATTTCAAACGTGAGATGTGCGGTCTCATCGATTATAGGTTCCGCCATATGAAGACTGATAGATTCCGTAACGCGAGACAAGAAAATATTGTATACAATAGTCGCTAAAACAAGAAGACATTTAGACCGATATAATTATTTATCAATAGAAATTATTATTTAACTGTGCGTTATTAATATTCAAATTATTTAATTATTCCGAAAGAATTTTGCAGATTGAGATTCAATTTAGAGCGATTTCGGAACTTGTTGAAATCATTTCGTTTATAAATGGAGTTGACACCTAAATACAAGCAATAAAAATTACCGAAATTGCTCTACATATAACTTTCATTCTGATAGAACCGATAGACACGAAGACAAACAAGATGCATTTGTATATAATTAGTCATGTGAAAAGTATATGCGAATGGAAGTTTTCTTTTTCAAATTATCGGCAGGGCAATGTGAAAGGCGACGTCTGACGTCGCGGTATCGAATCGCGAACCGCGACCCCTGTATACGATACCGCGTAGGTAAAGTAGGTACCTGTTTACTAGATTAAAAAAACCTTACAAAGTAACGGTAGCAGAGGTCTAATTAATTACTATTTATGGATACGATATAGTAACGATATTCACATAGTTGAATTTCGCGAGTAACTCGATTATTCAGTGACTCGACGAAAATATAACTAGACTAAGAGGATGACAATATTTCGAGAGCCGCCGCGTTGTCGTCCGCTGATGAACTTACGGTTTCTCCAGTGTGTCGCATTTTATGGATTTTTATCATACATGAATTTCTTTATTAAAATTTGTATGGAGATATTTGATTTTTTACTATTATTGTTAGTTACGTTGGTTCTCAAATACTTATTTCAAGGTCATTTGAATCATTGGAGGAAAACAGAAGATTGGATTTTTTACATGTGCTTTAGACTAAGTACTCCGTAAGTAAAATATTATAGCAGAATGTTGGTAGATTGGCAGTAGAAATCAAGCAATTCCTGCTAATATTATCTGATGGCAAATTGGCAACAGAAATCTAGCGGAAGCTCTTGTTTTGTAGCTATTTAAATCGTAACGTTATTGATTTTGAAAGATCTTTAAAATTGAAATTTTATTCATTTTTATTTTTATTTACTTTATTAATTTTTTTATTTGGAAAGAATAATTTTAAACTATTTTATTAATAGAAATTAATATATACATATTTTACATATTAAAGCATTAGAT